GCCGGATCTGTCCTCCGGCGGAATGTAGACGCTGCGCACGTCAAACCCCGCCCTGAGCAGCCCAGGGACCTGCGGCAAGATCGCCTGGCCCGTGCCGTCCGTACCCTGCGCCCGTAAGGCGCGCATTGGGTAGCGTGAGGGCAGGGGAGCCAGGAGGCAATCACGGCGAAAGGAGGCTGGGGCCGGGTGCGCACCGCCGCTGCCGCATGGGGCGCCCTGCCGCGAGCGAGCAGCGGGCGGGGGCCCCTGGGACGCGCGGCGGGGCCGGGGGGCGGCTCGGCGGCAGGGCGGCAGTGCTGCATGCGTGGTCCCCGCTTGTCGTGCCCGCAGCACCGCCCGCGAAAGCGATGCACGGCGTCCCATTTGGATTGTCTACCCGCTCGCCGCCGATCCGACCCAGTAAGCGCAGGCCCACTCTGGATCTTGGCCCAACCCCGGCCCAAGGCTGCAGATATGGTGAGCATGGGGGCGAGGCCCCCCCGCCTCGCTCCTGGTCAACGCGCCAGTCAACATGCAGTGCAGCAAAAGTGCTCACCGGCAGGAACACCAGCAGCGGCCGCTCCTCCGCGTCCTCCAGCTTTGCCGGGTGCAGCAGCCGCACCTGGGGCGCGGGCGTACCCGCGGTGGCGGCGGGGGCGCGTCATGCTTTGAGGCGCCCGAGCCAGACACCTCCGCATTGATATGCCAGTTGGGCCCGATGGGCGCTCGCAGAGCAGCTGCTTTGCACTCTGCAGTACGTTGCCAGCCGCCCCATGGTAATTTTCCTAGCATAATGCTACAATTCAATCGTGCTCGCGGCTAACCATGCGCCGTGCGGCCGCCGACTGGGCCGTGGCGCATCTCCCTTGATAGTTAGTCAAGCAGCGCGCCTGGCTCCACCCCACCCCCGATTTCGCCACCCAGCCGTCGTGTCAGGGGTGGCTGCGGAGCACATTCAACGGCAATTGTAATAAGTCATGCACCTGGAACGGGCTCGCGCTGGCCTTGCAGACAAGCCTGGTCGTCCTGCTCCATCGCACTTGTTGCTGGAACGCGGGGCGCTGCAGCCTGCTCTGCATTCTTCGCTGTCTGTCAAAATTAAGTAATGAGTGTTGTAAAATCAGGCCGTGCTGTTGGGCTTGGCGACAAGATCAGCCCGTCCGCTGGCAGCGCGGAAATTGCATGATGCGCTTAGATATCAGGCAAAATGTGCAATACCGTTGATGTAGACAACCAGAGTCAAAAAGCGACGTCCTGAGCCGTGGAAACCTTGCAATCACCACCACAGGTCAACACTGCCCTTGTCAGCTGGCAAGCACACTAGGAAGGGGTGCTGAGGCGGGCACCCCAGTTGCAGCGCACCACGGTTGCAGAACGGGTGGCAGGGGGTGCCAATAGGTCGTGGGCTGTGGCCTTGCGCCTCGCGGGGCTGCACAGGGGCCGCATGGCTCAACGCGCCCAGGGCATGTGTGACGTCACTGCACCCGGCCTATGGTCGCAGAGCTTTGAGGCGCCGCCATCACTGCGGTTGCGACTTGCAACAACACACGAGCTGAACAACCCAACACAGATCACATCTTTGCTGGGACGGCCCCAACGGACGAGACCGAGCAGCAGATCTCATGGGTTGTGTACGCTTCCACGAGCACGGGGCGAGTGCGCCAACGTTTGCTGCTCATGCGGGGCAGCCTCTGGTGCCCGCAGCCTGCCCTGATAACGCTTAGCATTCCTGTTTGCTGCCTCCTGCCTCCACTGTTTGCTGCCTCCACCAGACAATCAGGCAGCCGGCACGCCTGCGCCGACGGCTGCGTCGCAATCGGTCGCAGGTGCTACTTGCATTTTCTGCTGAAAAACAGTCACGCCACATTGTCCGGAGCGTGCGCTTACACAAACCACAGAGGGCGGTCGAAGAGCGCGAAAGAGATCCTCATGCGCGCGCAGTGGCGCAGCGCCGGCCCATTCAAAGGCATGACCCGTAGCATTGTGTCAAACATATGGACACACTGAACCGCACATATTTGCAAGCTGCTTGTCAGGAAGCATCTGGGGGGGATGCACCTGCCCGCAGGACGGCCAGTGTCACCGCCCCGCACCCTGCGCATCGAGCCGCGCCTCCAGCGCCGCGATCCGCGCCAGCAGCGCAGCCTCCCGCTCCGCCGCCGCGTCGCTGACACCGTTCCCGCCGCCGTTCCCGCTGCCGTTCCCGGTGCCCGCCGCGGCCGGCTTTGCGAGCCGTGCGGCCTTCTCCATCGCCTGCCCGAGATCTGAGATCAGATCGTCAACGTCCTCTATGCCGCAGGCGATCCTCACGAGGTCGTCGGGCAGGCCGCGCGCGGCGCGCACCTCGGCAGGGATCGAGGCGTGGCTCATGTAGCACGGCAGGCTGATGAGCGAAACCACGTTGCCAAAGGACACGGTGACCTGCCAGGACACAGCGTGTGTGTTTTGCGACGTGGGAAGTGTCTGGAGTCGGCGCATGGCTTGACACGGAAAGCGTGCACTGTGCCGGCCGGTGCAGGGGACGCGCCTTCCTGCGCTTGCGCACGCACGTGGCGGGCGCACGGCGGGCCGCAGGGAAAAACACTCGCGCACCGGCCGGGGATCGAACCACCCACCTTGAAGAGCTTGGTCTCCTCCACGATCGCCTTGGACACCTCCACGTCCCCCGTCGTGAAGCTCAGCACCGCGCCGCCGCTGCTCGCCTGCGCCCGGTGCAGCTCCGCGCCCGGCGTGCCCTGGAGGCCCGCGTAGTTGATGCGCGTCACCAGAGGGTGGGCCGCCAGCCAGTCCGCCATCTTGGCGGCGTTGGCGGCGGCGCGCTCCAGGCGTAGGGCCATGGTCTTAAGGCCGCGGAGGGCGAGCCAGCAGTCCATGGGGGCCAGGCCCGCGCCCTCGGAGTTCTGGGGGTTGTTCGGGGGTGACGGGGTGGGGGGGTTTGACGGGAAGGGGCCAGGGGTTGGTTCAAGAGGGACGGCACGCAAGCGCCGATTTGTGATGCACAGCATGTGCATGCCATGCATTACACGCGCTCACACACATAGTCACACACACACATACACACGCTTATGCTCTTGGACGACCACCACCGCGCACCTGCAAGAAGTAGACCCTCTTGCCCAGCTCGGGGTCCCGCGTTGCCAGCATGCCCAGCGTGGTGTCCCCGTGGCCGCCGATGTACTTGGTGCCGCTCGTCATGCTGATGTCAGCACCTGGGGCCGGTCAGGCGCAAAGGGAAGGGGCGGAAACGCGCGAGTGGCGTCAGGCGCGCGCCAAGAGCTGACATCCCGCCACTGTTTAAGATGGGGCAGGAGGTGACCATTTATCAGAAGGGTGCCAGTGACTGCACACCCCTATAAACGCGGTGTAACCGGCGGCGGCGCGGCGCCTGCACCCACCCAGGTCGAGCGGCCGCTGGAAGAGCGGCGTCATGAAGCTGTTGTCGACGACCACGAGGGCCCCCGCGGCATGCGCGGCCGACACGATGGCCCGGATGTCGCAAACCTGCACCGCGGGGGTATCAGGAAGAATCAAATGGTGCGGCAGGACGGAGGGCCATCAGTGCGGGGTGGTTTGGAATCATGTGTGAATCAACGTTGTGCGCCGAAGGACGGTCGGGTCGGCTCTGACGCCACTTGAAGGCCGCCAGCGCTCTGGGCAGGCGCGTCGGCCCGCGAGCTTCAAGCACACGCGGCGTCGGCCACCGCCACCAGACTCACGCCCGCCGTTCGCCCGCGGGCGAGCGAGGCGCGCGAGCAGCATCTGGCCCCGCCCCCGCCATCACACCCAGACCCAACCCCCTGCGCCGCACCTGCATGCGGGGGTTTGTGGGTGACTCCACGATGACGAGCTTGGTCCTGCCCGGGATCATGGCGGACCGCACGGCACTGCGGGGGGGACGGTGGGAAAGGCGCGCGGCGCGGGGCGCCGGTTTGCGTCAGAGGGCCGGCGGCGCGCTGCGGAGGCTGGGCGCGCTGCTGGCGTGCATGCTCCCCCCTTCATGTGTGGGGTGCAGCAGCCAACCCGCCTGCGCAGCCGGCCGAGGGGCGGAGGGAGGGAGGGAGGGAGGGCCGCGCGCCGCCGCGGCTGGCCCCGCCCACCCATCCCCCCAACCCCACACTCCAAAATCTATTTACGCGCGCGAGCAAGGCGATCAAAAGATCACATCACATCAAGGGCGAGGCGGGGGGGCGCACCTCAAGTCCGTCATGTCCACGTTTGTGACGTCCACCCCGCACGCGGGCACTACGTTAGCCAGCAGCCGGCTCGTGCCGCCATAGATGTCATCCCCCGCCACGATGTGGCCCCCCGCCGCGACGAGCCGCGTGACGACGGCGATCGCGGCCATGCCGCTGGTAAAGGCAAACGCGCGGTCGGCGCCCTCGAGCGCAGCCCACTGCTCCTCCAGCATAGTGCGGGTGGGGTTGCCCGACCTGGTGTAGTCATAGGGCCCGAATTCGGTCGCGCCGGGCTGGGCAAAGGTGGCGGTCTGGTAGAGGGGCGGGCCGCTGGCCCCGTAGGGGTCGGTGACGCTGCCTGGCTCCGGGTGCAGCAGCAGCGTCGAGAGCTTGTAGCGCGGCGCCGCGGGGCGCGCCGCGCCGTTCGCGGCGCCGTTGGCGGCCGCGGCGGCGCCGTTGGACGAGGCGGCCTTGGAGGCGGCGAGCTGTGAGGGGCGGAGGTCGAGAAGGGGCGGGGAGGCCGGCGTTGGTTGGTGGGCGGTGACGCAGAGTTTCGGGTGGCCGATAGGCATGGACTTTAGCCGCTCTGTGCCCCCTCAATCTGTCCTTACAAGCTCACACGTACTCCTGCACGCTCACACGCAACTATCCTCTTGGTAAACACAAACACACACACACACACACACACACACACACACGTACGGGTGCTCTCGAACGAGCGGACCCTCCCGGCCCCCACCTTCAGGCCCCTGTACAGGTTTGGCTCCACGGGGATCATGCCGCTCGTCAGCCGCTGCGCCGCGACGCGCGCGCCCCTCTCCCCGGGCAGCAGTATCTCGTCCACCCCGGGCAGCGTCGGGGCCGCCTTCACGCGGTCGAGGACGGCCTGAGGGGTTGAATTTTGGGTGCGGGGTGTGCAGGGGAGGGGGGGGCGTTTGGGGGGTGATCTTGAGAGGCCGTGGGCGTGGGCAGGCACGCTGCCGCAACCGCGCCGCTGCCGGAGGGGCACAGGCCCCCGCCAGCCTCGACAAGGCAATCACACACACACACACCCTGCACACCCACGCACCCCGCCCTTTCCCCCAGAACAAAGACGCCACGCGAATAGAACTACATGCCTCCCATCGGCACCGCCGCTGCTACACACCCCACACGCCCCATCAGCCCGCGCACCTGCGTGCGTGCGCGTATGGCGTCCCTGTCCCCCAGCAGCTCGGGGTCCACTGCCAGCACCAGGTTGCCCCAGTTCTTCGCCTCCAGCTTGTCCGCCACCGCCGCGCCCACCAGCGGCCCCGCCAGCAGCTCCACCATCAGCGCCAGGTTGCTGCCTTTGTGGGAGCTGCGGGGGACGCGCCGGCGCCGACGCAAACGCGCACGCGTGACGACGCCTCGGGGCCTCAAACTCGACGCGGCTGCGTCCAAGGTTCAAGCGCATGCAAGATCGGCCCACCTCAACGTGGCGCCGCAGGCTCGGGGCGCGTGCAAAGGCGTGCCAAGCGGCGCGGGCGGGGGCTGCCCCCTCCCCTCTCACCCGTCAAACACGCGGATGGCGCCGCCGTCCAGGACCTTGGAGGGGTCCTCCGTGATGTTGCCCTCCGCGTCCTGTGCCACCCCCAGGGGGATGCTCCGGCCCGCGGTCTTGGCCTCGAGCACGCCAAACCAGGCGTAGGCCGCCGTCGCCATGTCCATGACGACGGGGGCGCCCTCTGTCGGCACGCCGACGGCGATGGGGTTGGTGCCGAAGAGGGCCTTCTTGGCGCCGTGGGGGGCGACAAACTCGGGGGACTGCGCGATCACAATGGCGATGAGGCCCTCGGCCGCGACCTAGGGAGGGGGGCGCGGGGCGGATCGGGGGCCGTGAGTGGCGGTGAGGGGGGTGCAAGGGCACGGG